ATTACTCCGGATTTACTGCCACTCTTTTGATTTCCTGTAAAGAAACAGCATGAGCACGAGGAAAATAAAGCTCAGGAAAGCAGGGAATCAAAAGAGAGAGAGAAAGAGAGAGAGAACACACATAAAGATATGCACACACACAATTCAGGGCTATGACATTTCTCTTTTCGTCACCACCTCTTAAGAGGTCACAGCATTGAGTTTACCAGAATCAGTGCTTTGTGTTCCATAGTAGGGTGTCCCTACACCTATTACCCCTCACTCATTCCCACAAGCCACTTCTCAGCTGTTAACCTCACACCAGAAGTAAGTGAGGTTCATTCTCTGTGGAACAGCTGAGAGATGTAAAAAGTCTGTGCATATCTGACACCAGTTGACACCACCTGCAGGGTGCTGTCACATTTTTCAGTTGTTAGGCAGGGTTTGAAGATCATTTCTGTTCCTGCTAAAAACTGACCAGTAATTGAGAAATGTGCACAGGTTGCAGGCCACAGCTGGCTCAGGATGAGGAGACACTTTCCTCTGCCTGAGAGTGGCCTTCGGAAGGAGAGATGGAAGAATCACAGAACAAATGAAATGAGAGAGAAGCAAGGAAGGAAGAAAAGAAGAAGGGAAAATGGAAGAGGGGGCAAGGGCAACACAGAAGGAAAAAAACGTTTGGAGGAGGAAACGTGAAGGGGGATTGAAAGAATATGGAAGGGAAGAGAAAGAATATGAAAGGATAAAAGATTTAGAGAGGGAAAGGGGGAAAGGAAATGTTAATTAGAGAGAAAGCTGAAAAACTGTAAATTACTGAGGAAAAGAAGCAATTAGACACAGGAGGAAAAACAATGATGTGAAAGAAGAGAAAGGGAAGAACCAGGGGAGATAAAGTCAGTCATTCTTTATAGTTTATAAAAAGTTTATGCAAAAAACACTACCACAAAATACATATAAATGATTGGTTTTATATATCAGGAAATGGAGACATGACTGTCGAGGAGGGATGCTCAGAAAATCTGGTAGTAAAGAGGCAGGTGGACCTGGGAACCCGTTGTTTCAAAATAAAATCTGTTTTGGTTTTTCATGTTTTTTTGCAACATTGATGCTTTTGTGTGTGCAAGATTGGAACTGTTTTTCTGAAGGCTTTAATGTTTTTTTGTGTGTGTGTGTGTGTGAGATGGGGAGATATGCAAAGGTATTTTGGTTCTGGTGGCTTTGGTACATGTTTGTTAGGTATGGTTAAGGCTACAATTTTGTCCTGGAGGTCACAGAATCCATGACTTCTGCCCTGGTGGCTGGGACCTGCAGGGTCCCGCTGCTTCCCATAGCGGCAGGGAGCTGTGAGGTACCCCCGCTGCTTGAGGCAGGGGGCCCCAAGCTCCCAGCTGCCCTGGGCAGAGTGGGTACCCCGCAGCTCCTGGATGCTTCCGGGGACAGAGGGATCCCTGCAGCTCCCCGCCAGCTGTGTCGGCAGGGAAGACCCCCGCAGTTACCCTGCCACCACCGTGGGGCAGGGGGACCCTGGCAGCTCCCCACCATCGCCATGGGGCAGGGGGACCACCGCAGGTCCCCGGCCACTGCCGCAGGGCAGGGGGATCCCCGCAGCTCCCCAACACCATGGTGGGGCAGGGGGAACCCCACTAGCTCCTCTCCACTGCAGGGGGCAGGCGGACCCCTGCAGCCCCCGGCCACCACGGGGGGAGGGGGATTCCTGCAGCTCCCTGCTGCTGGGGAGGGTGGAGGGTGACCCTGAAGCTCCCCTCTGCTGGGAAGAGAAGAGGGACCCTGGAGCTCTGAGGCTCCATGGGTTCAGCTGCCCAGTCCCTTCCCATTTTATCATGGATATTTTTAGTAAAAGTCACAGACAGGTCACGGGCTTCCATGAATTTTTCTTTATTGCCCATGACTGTCTGTAACTTTTACTAAAAATATCCATGACAAAATCTTAGCCTTAGATATGGTATCTTATCAGAATATAGTTTACTATAGACCCAATGTTCAAGGATTGAATTCTATTTGCTGCACAATTTATGTCAAAGTTAACATTTTCTGCACAATTTATGTGTGATTGTCTTAAAATCTTCTAAAATGTGGGAAATTGCACAGAAATTAAATAATTTCTAAAAAAGGGTAATCCCATACCCCATTTCATTTAATACTTTTCACATAAATGTTAATGCTGGAGAAATGTAAATATTGTATATGTATATACGGTGGAAGGATTGAGATAGTGTGCTGAATATGTGCTGATTCACATCTGCCCCAAGTGGGCTTGAATGGCTATTGTGGGAGATGGAGGAAAGAGAATCATAGATGAGACAGTCACAAAGATTCACATACTGCACATAACCACGGGCAAACAGACACATGCAGCAAGACTCTTAGCCAGCCAGATGAATGGACAGGAACTAACACATTAAGTGGCTCATTACAGAAGCAGCTTTTCCTCTCCTGGAATTGACACCTCCTCATCTATTATTGGGAGTCGACTACATCCACCCTGATTGAATTGGCCCTGTCAACACTGGTTCTCCACTTGTGAAGTAACTCCCTGCTCTCCATGTGTCAGTATATAATGCCTGCATCTGTAAATTTCACTCTATGCATCCGAAGAAGTGAGGTTTTTACTCACGAAAGCTTATGCCCAAATAAATCTGTTAGTCTTTAAGGTGCCACCAGACTCTTTGTTGTTTTTGTAGATACAGACTAACACGGCTACCCCCTGATACTTGACAGCATAAAATATTCAAAGAGTGACTTCCACTCATTCCAATTTCTGTGGCTTGGCTGGAGGAGGAAGTTCATGAGGAGGATCACAAAAACTCTGGTTCAAATCTCTGCTTTACTAGTATGCAGGATGCGCACACCGCAAATTCAGCCATGGGATGGGGGAGTTCAAGAATGTATTAAATCTGCTCTTAGTCTCTTGTTACCATTTGGCAGGCAAAGACAGCACCACTTATCCACTGAAAATATAGGAGAAAATATTAACGCAGGGAGTTTTACAGGAGTAAAGACTTATAGTCCAGGTGCCAGATTCTTCCAGAAGGAGGCATTGTTGGGAAGGATGTAGAAGTCCAGGGTGTCAGGAAGTTCCCAGTGACTAGATAACCAACTTCACTCTGCACGAGACACTGTATATGGCATGGTCTAAGCATCCTGACTATGGGGAACTTTTAGGTACTCCAGTCCTAGCTTCTCCCAGCAGAAATCACCATAGGCCATGGTGTAGAAATCCTGGCTGTAGGGACTCCCAGCTACTCAAGTTTCAGCCTCTCCTGTGCACACTCATTGTAGGAAATAGTGTAGGAACACAGTTGGTGGGGATGGAGAGGGGAATAAATATTAAAACATTTAATTCATACCTGAAGCCTGCAAATTGTTTTCTGTTTTATATTCTGCTACATTTTCCCTGGAAACAGAAAGTTAAGATGCTCACTTCTGTCACAAATAGTCACAAGAGGATTACATAATACGTTCTGTTATTTTAAATTCTCTCTGCCAGCAGTTGGAACATGCCCTGCTAACTCTGTGTAACAGTGCTGCCCTTGAAATGTAGGTGTGATAGAATATACAGGAAATTTAGATGCTATGGACTGCACTTATGTAACATGCAACTGAACTATTTAATGCTGTTAATGTGTGAGTTGGCAGATGTGAGTTAATGCGGAGTATGGGCCCCGCGCACTGGCGCTATGGTAACCCCTAACTAAGGTGCCGCTTTTGGAAAATGTGCTGAGGGGAAGCGGCTGCTTCCTCTGCACCCCCCCAGCTACGCTACTGCTGTCAACACTTAGGTAAGGATAAAGGTAATCAGATTTCACACTTCTGGATGTAAAGCCACCTGCAGGGTAAAGGCAGGGGATGGGAAGAGGATGGAATTTCTCCAATGTGTTCTTGCAATATGCCACAATTAGGTGCAGTATGGGTGCGTGGGGTTTTGTCTTGCTCTGAACCATAAGCCAGTGCGCACTGCTAGAGGCAGGAAATTAGTTAGACCAGTAGTCTGCTCCAGCACAGAAGGAGGCAGGATACTGAACTCCATAGGCCAGTATGGAGTTCAGGACACAAGATACTGGACCAACTGGACCCCTGGCTTGATCTAGTATGGCAAATAGTATGGTCAAAAATTTCAA